AAAAAAAAAAATGTTTCTGATAGCTTCCAGTTACTGAGTGCTAACTATGTGCTGGGCATAATGCTTATCTTATCGACATTGTATCTTTGAATTCTCTAGTGATTTTTACGAGGTTCCTATTAGCAATTTTCTTGCACAAATATTTGTAGTATCATAATTATCTTAATGGAATTTGTTTCATTTTGATTTTCTTATTGGTCAAGCATTGAATTTTTAATTAAATAGAGGGATGATGTTTAATAGTGAAATTTCTAATATTTTTTCCCTTAGGAGAAGAAACCAATGCATCAGATCAACAAAATGAACCGCAATTAGGTCTGAAAGACCAGCAAGTTCTAGATGTAAAGAGCTATGCATGTCTTTTTTCAAAGAGCATTGAGACTTTGAGAGTTCATTTAGCAGAAAAAGGGGATGGAGCTGAGCTCATATGGGACAAGGTTCGTTTTGAAAATATGTGGCAATTCTATATCACATGCATATTTTTGTTCTTAAACTGTAACCAGAAACTAGTAATTTTTTGAATATCATTTATTCTACCAGAATTTGAGGACATAATGTTGAGTTTGCATGGATGTTTTAGAATTACTACATTGAACTATGAATTTTCTGTACGTGAATTCAAATAATATAGAACTTGATTTTAGATTCTGGTTATGGATTTGTGGTTTATAATTATGTTTTGAGAACATAATTGGACTGGAGAAATGTGAATTTATTGGAGTAGAATGTTTCACTGACTTAAAAACTTTATTATGTAATACAGATTTGTTAATAGAAGTCGTAAAATCCTTTTGGCGACCACAGCTCATGGGCCTAATTAACCTTGAAAGTAATAAAATTGCCTTTCTATTGAAATAGTGAAAGGTCTGAGACCTCTAAATACAAAAATTAAATGTAATTATTCTTACCAAGTTAAAATAATATTTAATAGTATTTTGTGGTTAGATGTCATGTTTTGAAATTTAATGAGTGAATCTGATTTTTAATTGTAATCAGTGTTTTCTACATCTACAAGTGATTCAGCTGTGTTAAAGTTTATATATTTCAGTGATGGTAGAGATTTGCCATGAGTTGTAAGAGGAAAAGTTTGGTCAGTTTTACTAACCTGAGATGATAATTTTGTGCAAATTTTGACACTATGATTGAATTAGACATCCAAAATAGAGCTAGTTAAGTTCATATTTTGGGGATCCTTGTAAACCTTATTCTTTTGGGTTTATGTTGTATAAAGATTACTTAATAAATACATATTTTCATTATTAGTGTTCTAATAGTGATTTGGGACGTTTTCATCCATACACAGGGGCTAGATAATGAAACTGAAACGGGGAGTTGTTACCCTCTGATTAAAATCTACACCTATTTGATACGGTGAACCAGTTGTGTAGGGAAGTACCTAATGTACACTGTTGGGTACTGTTTAAATATTCATACTTAATGCTCATCACAACCTTATAAAATATTTATATAATTTTCTCTACTTAATAGTTAAGGAATTACAGATTTAAGGAATTTCATTTGCCTGAGGTTAGCCAGCCAGCCAGTAAATACATAGAGAACACACATCCTGTCAGTGCTTTCTCTTCTGTACTTTGGTGCTTCTGAATTATAGGGCTAGGATAGTATGTTCTCAGTGAAGCAGGAAATCTTGCTGAAATCTAAAGTGACCAAGATACAATCTCAGGAAGAATATAAATTGTCAAGGGAAAACTTTTGTTCTATTGCCATAGGTGAAAAGAAACCGCAAATGCAGGAGACTGGTGTATATGAAGGGAATTTGGAGAAGGAAAACCAAAAGGTGTCGTCCAGATGTTTGAGTCTTTAATGAAGCCCTTTTCTCTAAAAAGCCCTTATCTCTTTGCTGTTACCAAACAACCTTTCATTACAGACTGATGGACCTAGGAGAGGGTTGCCACCATCAATGAATGGAATTGGTGTTGCAGTCTATACACTTAGTGTCTCTGTATCTGTGTAAGCAGGATTGAGTTCCTAGAAGCCTGGTGGGTCTTGGCATTCTTGTCAGGCTACATTCCTGGATCCAAGAATCTGATAATGAGACCCTAAGCTTCTTCCTCAAGGCCATCTCTTGTTCTAGTTGACTGTCTACAGTGTTATAAAACGTGTGAAAGTACTGTTTTGAAGGTGATACCAACCAAATTAGTAAGTTTGTGGGAAGACTTAATAAATTGTTTAAAATAATTGGCAGGATGACCCATCTGCAATGGATTTTGTCACCTCTGCTGCGAACCTCAGGATGCATATTTTCAGTATGAATATGAAGAGCAGATTTGATATAAAATGTAAGTTATGTTATACTTTAGTTGTATTACTTAAAATTCTAAGTTACTCTTTTTTAACAGTTAAACATACTCATCTTTGTTTTTCAGCAATGGCAGGGAACATTATTCCTGCTATCGCTACTACTAATGCAGTGATTGCTGGGTTAATAGTATTGGAAGGATTGAAGATTTTATCAGGAAAAATAGACCAGTGTAGAACAGTGAGTATTTCTATTTGTATTCTTTATGTAACCTTTCTCCCTCTCTCTCTTTTTTTAAGTAAGCTCTGTGCTCGATGTGGGGCTTGAACTCTCAACCCTGAGGTCAAGAGTCATATGCTCTGCCAGCTGAGCCAGCTAAGCGCCCCCGTCCAATCTCTTTTTAATAGTATAGTCTGTACTTCAGGGGAAAAAAATAACTTATAAAAAGCATATTAAACAGATCATTTAAAAAATTAAAACAATAAAATTGATTTAAAGCAGTGGAAAGGGGTGCCTGGGTGACTCAGTCGTTAGGCGTCTGCCTTTGGCTCAGGTCATGATCCCGGGGTCCTGGAATCGAGCCCTGCATCGGGCTCCCTGCTCGGCCAGGAGCCTGCTTCTCCCTCTGCCTGCTGCTCTGCTTGCTTGTGCATGCTCTCTCTGTGTCAAATAAATAAAAAAATCTTTAAAAAAAAAAAAAAAAAGAAACGTGAAGAAGGAAGATGGCTGGAAATCTTGTCACCTAGAGAAATAGCCACTATTAACATTTAAGGAATGTCTTGGTAGTTACCTCTATCTGCACAGAAATAAAGGGCTGTTGTTTATGCACTTTACATAAATGGAATCATACACGTTTATATATAATTACTTGCTCTTTCCAGTCGGTATTATTTAACTAGTCCCTTATTGGTTAACCTTTGTTTCATATTTTCCCTCAAATAGTGTTGTGATAAGAATACATGCACATCTTTGTACCTTTGTGTGATTATCTCTTTAGGATTTAATTTAGGGACATACTTACAATTTTAAATGTGAGAAAAACTATTGTGGTAGTGACCTCTTCCTTATCCTACCGCCCCTTCCACACGTTATGTCTGTACCTTAGATAAGTTACATTACAATTAATGTATTCACTGCAGTGATCAGCACATTGAAACTTAAATGGTCCCAGGAGATTTGGGGTGTCAGTTGGGAGCAGTTCTCTACAGTAATGAATATTTGTCTTTATGGACTAAATTTTTTTTTATTTTTATTTTATTATGTTGATCACCATACATTACATCGTTAGTTTTTGCTGTAGTGTTCCATGATTCATTGTTTGCATATAACACCCAGTGCTCCATTTAATACGTGCCTCCTTAATACCCATCACCAGGCTAACCTATCCCCCCACCCCTCCCCTCTAGAACCCTCAGTTTGTCTCTCAGAGTCCATAGTCTCTCATGGTTTGTCTCCCTCTCTGACTTCCCTCCCTTCATTTTTCCCTTCCTACTATCTTCTCTCTTTTTGTTTTTTAACGTATATTATTTGTTTCAGAGGTACAGGTCTGTGATTCATCAGTCTTACATAATTCACAGCTCTCCCCATAGCATATACCCTCCCCAGTGTTTATCACCCAGCCACCCCATCCCTCTTACCCCCACCACTCCAGCAACCCTCAGTTTGTTTCCTGAGATTAAGAATTCCTCATATCAGTGAGATCATACGATACCTGTCTTTCTCTGATTGACTTATTTCGCTTAGCATAATACCCTCTAGTTCCATCCGCGTCATTGCAAGTGGCAAGATTTTGGGTTTTTTGTTGTTGTTGTTGGCTGCATAATATTCCATTGTGTATATATATGTACACCACATCTTCTTTATCCATTCATCTGTTGATGGACATCTTGGCTCTTTCCATATTTGGCTATCGTGGACATTGCTGCTATAAACATTGGGGTGCACGTACCCCTTCATATCACTACATTTGTATTTTTGGGGTAAATACCCAGTAGTAGTGCAATTGCTGGGTTTTACAGCTCAATATAAGTATGCTTCTGATAGGGCGCCTGGGTGGCTCAGTCATTAAGCGTTTGCCTTCGGCTCAGGTC